CTGTGACAGCGCGGGGGGAGCGTGACACCTACCTACAATGACTGTGACAGCGCGGGGGGAGCGTGATACCTACCTACAATGACTGTGACAGTGCGGGGGGAGCGTGACACATACCTACAATGGCTGTGACAGCGCGGGGGGAGCGTGGCACATACCTACAATGGCTGTGACAGCGCGGGGGGAGCGTGGCACCTACCCACAATGACTGTGACAGCGTGGGGGGAGTGTGACACCTACCTACAATGACTGTGACAGCGCGGGGGAGCGTGACACCTACCTACAATGACTGTGACAGTGCGTGGGGAGCGTGGCACCTACCTACAATGGCTGTGACAGCGTGGGGGAGCGCGACACCTACCTACAATGACCTCGACGGCGCGGGGGAGCGTGGCTTCGCCATTGGCAGCTCCCGGACGATTCTCGGCATTCTCGTGAACCTCGATCGGGTAGAACTGCCGCCAGTCTTCGAGCAGCTTCGTGCTGACCGGGTCCGACTCCTTGTAGGACATCCCCGTGAGCGTTCCAGCCAGCCCGTATGGACACAACACCACTGCGTATGCACACACACACACAGACAGAGGGACCGTCAGTCAGAAACTCACACAGAAACATGTACGAAGCTTCAATTAGAAACTCACACAGAAACACGTAGAAAGCATCAATCAGTAACTCGCACAGAAACACAGAAGCATGCAGAAAGCGTCCATCACACACTCCTCCCGCGCAACAGCCCACTCAACCTCTAGGTTTCCTCGCCGCTGCGGCAACGACGAATGCTTGTCTTAGGCGAAGAACTCTAGATGCGTATCTCAAGAAGTGTGTAAATAAACGCACGCGCGAGAAAACCAATGCGACGATATTAGGCGAAACTCGAACCGCGTGTGACGCAAGCGTCTTACGCGCCCGCCTCGCGGTTAAACTCACCCTGCAGACCATTGTGTGAGCCCTGCGGCAGGTTGAGATGCCGCGGCTGCAGTCGCTGTATGGGGGCATGGTGTCTGACATCTATGCTAGCACACACGGTGCTGTCCCCGTGAACGAAGAGCCGGAACGAGCAGGACAGGTGCGTGCTGAAACAGAGAAACGCCTTGTCATTGACACACCGAAACACACGTCATTCCAGGACAGGTGAGTTATGAAAACACATGTCATCTCAAGACAGGTGAGTTATGAAAACATATGTCATCTCAGGACAGGTGAGTAATGAAAAACATGTCATCTCAGAACAGGTGAGTTATGAAAACATATATGTCATTCCAGGACAGGTGAGTTATAAAAAACATGTCATCTTCTTCCTCCTCTCGACTACAATAGTCTTCCAAGATTCCTTCCGGCACTCCCACCACCAACAGTGCAGGAGTGGCAAGTCTACCGTCATTTACTGAAGATAGACATTAATAAAGCTGGAGGACCTGACAACCTTCCGCCACGTCTAATTAGAGAATTCGCTGCTGAGTTCGCGACACCCCTGGCTGATGTAATCAACGCGTCTCTTCTGCAGGGCTGTGTACCTCAAGCTTGGAAACAGGCGATCATATGCCCTATACCAAAAGTGTACCCTCCTTCCATTGATGAGCTAAGGCCAATCTCTCTAACCTGCACTTTCGCTAAAATCGCAGAGAACTTTGTCTACACGTGGATCATGGGCGACATCCAGCATAAAATTGATTTACGCCAGTTTGGCTCCATACCCAGCTCTCTACAGAGGAGCAGAAAAACGCAACAATATAAGCTCTCTAGTCGTGACTGACTTCAGCAAAGCATTTGACCTGATATGTCACACTACACTGCTAAAAAAACTCCATAAATTAGGAGTCAGACCGTCACTACTACCGTGGATAAGCGATTTCCTCTCTATGAGGCAACAATGCGTCCGGTACAAAGGGTCTACCTCCACGTACCAGGGGTTAACATGTGGTGTTCACCAGGGCACAAAGCTTGGCCCGCTACTGTTTTTGGTCATGATCAACGATGCTGCTGAAGGACTATTAGTTCAGAAATGGAAATACGTCGACGATATGACACTACTGGAGACAAGGTCGATCCACGCTCCGTCATATCTAAACAACACACTCGTATCTATCCAGTGCTGGGCCTTTTCAAATAAAATGAAACTTAACTCTGCAAAATTTAAAGTTATGCAGGTGTACTTTGGTAGAAATAGACTTCAAGATGCTGAACTTTTTTTAGAGCACTTTCAATTGGAAAATTCGATAACTTTGATGATCCTGGGGGTATGGTTCCAGCACGATCTTAAATGGGCCATACACGTTCAAGATTTGGTGGCTAGAGCCAGTAAAAGAATGTTCATGCTTCGTCTACTAAAAAAATCTAGGCTTAGCTGTGAAGATCTCGTACAAATTTACTGTGGTTACGTCAGACCGATTCTGGAATATGCTGCACCCGTCTGGCACTCGGGCCTTACCAAAGAGCTCTCACGTCTAATTGAATCTGTTCAAGTAAGGGCAGTGAAAATAATAATAGGTTATAATAATTGGAATAGGTACGACATGTACGATGAGGTACTATCTCAGCTTCAGATACAAAGACTTGCGTTTCGTCGCAAGCAGTTTTGTGAAAAAGTTGTAAACGATTACAGGATATTTGCCCTCCTTCAGCAATAAATGTGTCTAACCGCATAACACGGAATTCTAGTAAACTCCGGCTTGCAAAAGTCCCTCGTACCAGCCGGTACTTCAATAGCCCTGTTCCATACATGTGCAGGATGATTAACAAATTGTAAACAGGCACTGAATTTTTTACAATAGCATGGATAATTCGTCTTTTGCTTGCGCCCCTTTATAAACATTTTGGTCTCTTTGAAATAACTCTCTGGACAACTTCCGGTTATGTGATATGTTTGATTCTATCATTGTGTCGCATTTTAATTGTAACTATTTTTTGACCAAGGATCACGTTATTTTAAATTTAGTATATATTCTAAAGATGGTTTTTAGTTTAGTGATATAATTTTACGAACCAACATTTTAAGTGATATCTATGTCTTACCATGGAACACATATTATTGTAAATATCATCAATTTCAGTTTTACTGCCTGATGATATCTTGTTTGCAAAATTTATTTTAATTGTAATGTTGTTAACACTAGTTTTGCGATAAACCTATTATCTATCTATCTATCTATCTATCTCAGGACAGGTGAGTTATGAAACAGAATTACTGTGTTGGAAATAGCAGCCTATCCCACAGAACAGGCCTGGCTCATTTTACTGTACATAGTGTATTTTACTATAGGTTATATAGTAGTTCTAAATAACAAATTTTTAAATCAGAATTGGCTGACTTTTCAAACTAATTTCTAAACATTACAGAAAAATTATGAATAACACACTGTAACATATATATATCTTACCTAGTAATAAGAATAACTCCCAAATCTCAATTCACTGTGATCTTGGTTCATAAACCTTCATCACCATCACCCTACACCTAACCCTAACTTAACCCTAAGCCTACCATTCAAATCTGCGGTCATGGAGTAGGCCTGAAGCACAGCACCCCCAATCTATTACCCCTTCCCGGTGCGACGGCTAGTGTCACATTGCTTAAACGCCTTGGCTTGCAACAAACCGTTTTGCCGACTGTATCATCACTTGATTACATGATAACAGCTCGCCGAAGAGCTGCCGGCTTTACTTGCTCTATTAACTCGGGAAGCGATCAGGTTAACCTGAGCGAACATGACCTGCTCAGCCTGCCTGCCTGCCTGCCCGCCTTCTCTACCCTCCTACGTGCGTGTTAACTAAAACTGGGTTGATTACACAAAAGATTATATGCTAGCAATGCTCGAGCCCACGCGCGCGGTAGGGCTGTACGCTGCTGCTGCTACGTCGCTGTGCCCACTCACGCACACACGCAGTCTCCTGCTACGCCGTCAGCCGCAGAGGTGTGGGGCATTTGATGAGGGGCCGGTCCCCCGCACACACACACGGCAGCGCTGTGCGCATGATTTGGCCCTGTTATGTGGAGCGGTTCTGTCATGCATGTTGCGCTGACGGAATAAACAACGCACTCCTTTCCTCCTCGCTTTTCATCTCTACTCCCCTCTCCTCTCCTCTTCCCTTTCAATTCCCTCCCTCCCCTTCCTTCCCCTCTCCATTCCCTCTCTCCCCTTCTCGTTACTTCTCGTCTTCTCGTCTTCTCCTCTCTTCTCCTTTCTCACCACTCTCTCTCTCTCTCTCTCTCTCTCTCTCTCTCCTCTGACTTCCCGTCGGCTTGCTCACGCCTGCTCTTCTTGTCACTACACGGGATAGACTCGGGGTATGAGGTGACACGCGCGGTGCACACCCACCAACGGACACACCACACACGGGTATTTGGCGAATCCGGCCACGCACGCACACACACAGACGCGCACCACTGTCACGCATCACGCTCTCTCTCTCTCGTTCTTCAGCTCTCCCTCTCTCTCATACCAGTTTTTGTTTCACATCCCACACAGCATGAGGCCAGGCAGGAGACCATTGGAAAATCATCGGAGCTGCATTCGCATTGAACAAGGCTGGCGGTATGTTCTGAGGGCACGTCCAAACAACACTCAAGACTATTTACTTGCAGCCTTTACAACTTCCTGTCGAAAATACTGTTTGCAAGACACGCTACCCGTTAACACGAGTATTACGGCGAGCGGGGCAACACCGCAGGACTAGGCTCGCTCTGCCTCACGCCTGAGGTTAAACAAGCAATACTTGCGTCGGGGAATGAACAAGTTGACAACGTTTTCCAGCCCCGTCTCTCACAACAGTCTAGTATCTTACCGCTGTAACTGTAAATAACGCGATTGATTACAAAATCATTACAGAGGGCGCAGCAATGGATTGCTCGCGATTTTCTCTTTACTACCAGCCTTTTTATGGGTATCAGATAGATCGTAATTACACTGTGTATGAGTGACACAACCCACACATGACAGTGAGATGTCTGTTGACACTGCTCTTCGCGCGTTAACCTGTGACAGCATTCATCCCCACTGAGTGCCCAGAGATACCATGCGTACAGCACTTTGCCTCCCTCGCACAGTATACACGGGCCCGCACGCACCAGACATCGCACGCAGCACCCGCACGCACGCACGCACGGGGGGACTGGGAATTCGAAGTTGCAAACACCGATGTAGCACCACGCACCACGGCACGACCGCACGCACGCACGCACGCACGCGAACAGCACGCACGCACGCACACACAACACAATCACACCCACACACACGACATGTCGGCGACCAGGCCACACCGGCACATACAGGCACCGTACACTTTGTAGAATGAGTGGATTCAACCCTATTGGATTTGTCAGGCAGATGATGGCTTTTTGTTTAAATCCTTGGGTTTTTTACCATAAGATAATGTCGCTATCGCACTTAGATAACTAAAGCCATGAGTTTCTCTCCATGCCAGGCACATATTTCATATAGTAGTTATCAGGGCGCTTCAAGCTTCAACATCATATCTGAATTGCACATCATAACATTTGCTCTCAATTACCTCCCCTACCTGTGAACTTGACCTGGCTATCACTGGTCTGATAGGGCTGTCACAAGACCACTTCCCCTCTTCGCACAAAGTTCGCTGTGCTTTAGACATCTGTGCAAGTAAGAACAAAACAGTACATGGCATCTATAAGATACGTAGCATGGATCTGTGTGGTGGTATAGTAGGCTGCCAAGCTATACACTATAAATCGCCAATTAATCGTCTCACTCACTCTGCAACAACGCATACACAGCACTATCAGATCGCCATATCACGCACTATCACGTCAGACTTCACTAATACAGACTGTACATACAGCGTCAACTCGCGACCGAAATCCCTGCCAGCTGCCAGATCCTAGTGCCATCCAGCGAAAAAAAACGAGAAAAATATGCATGCAGAAAACCGAAGAGGAGTGTTAGGGAAAAATTGAGAGTACAGTCTTTATCGCGGTACATCCATAACACAGGGTGGCATCATGATTATCGTGTGTGCCTCGAGATTCTGCGCGAGCGTGTGTGTGATGCGTACGCTGTACATTACTATGTTGTTAC